ATGAAACAAATGATACTGTTGATATTAATGTACATGTGTAGTAAACTTTGTAATAAAATACAAATGATATGATTTTTATGAGTTGTAATCTTTTACATGCACACACTTCTTTCTTTAATTAAGAAAATTAATTAAAAAATAATACCAAAAATAACAAAAATAAGCTAATTATTTTCATTCCATTGACAAACTATAAAATATCACAACTTTTTTAATTCTCCTTGTCCCTGTTCAAAGTACACATATAATGTGTAAAATTATGAATCATTAATCTTACTGCAGTACTACTCTTGTCAGGGCTTGCTTTTTTAGTCTGCAATAATAGTTATAATGAAAGGCTATATGATTTAGACAAACTGGCAATGTTGTAAAAAAGTCATGTTATGTGCCTTCAAAGCAGGTTAATTCAGTTTATATGGTACAGTAAAATCTATTGTGTATAGATGTATATGCATTGTAATTATTTACTTACTGGCTCAGCTGATATCTCATCATCATAGTGACGATATCTCATCATCGTGATAGTGACTTGTTGACAACTGTTTCTTTTCTGGCTGAGGTGATAAGGCCAATATTGGCTATAAAAAAGAGTAAATTACATGTACTGTACATGTATGTACAATATGTAAAATAGATACACAACTTTAAAAATTTTATTTCTTAGTAAATCAAGTGATCAATAACTTAACATTATAGATACAACAGGGCGCCTTTTTTTGAGGGCTATAAATTCCGCAGATTTCACAATTTTTTTAAAGATTCGCGAAAATTACTTTCGCAAAATCAAATTAATACAGTACAAGATGGCAGACAGCATAAATTCGCAAAAATTAAATCCGCGAAATAAAAATCCACGAAATTTATAGCCCTCAAAAAAAAGGCGCCCTATGGTACATGTACATAATACAATCTTACAGTAGTCTGGTGGGGTTGACGGCATATACTTCTCTTAGTTGGCTGGGCTGTGTCCTTTTGTTGACTCTGTTAACATAATATGGTATACAGTGTACATTGTAGTTCTAATGAAGTTCCTTACTGGTGTTAATACTGTCCCTCTAGTAACTTGAATTTCCTAAAGTTACATCAGTTTTAATGGCTTAGTTAAAATTGCAGTGTTGTAAAAAAAGTCATTAAAAACTTAAAATAAAAAATAGTCAATATGCCTTCAATGTAGGTTAACTATCACCAGTTTATATGATACATGTACATGACCACACCTTCTATTGTGTGTGCATATACATGTATTTAAACAAATTATTTACTTACTGGCATTACTGACAGCTCATCATCAAAAAGACTTGTTAACATCTCATGCCTTCCTGGCCATAATGAGGACACTGGCTATAAAATGACATAAAAAAATATAAAGTAATAACATTACATGTATAATGACAGTGTTGTCACAGAAAATGATTACTAATAATGCAGGCTTACATGTAATTAGTATAAGCAAGAGTACATAAGTACATGTATCATAGATTACACATAGCTCATGGTTTTTGAATTTTTTGTGAGTGGCTTTAAAATCGCAAAAATTAGTACTCGCATTGATTAATAATTCAGAGTTATTCATTAAAAAAGAACTAAATTGCAAAGCTAGTACACGCTAAATCAATACCATTAATAAATTTCAAATATCTGTCTACTTGAAATAAGTGGCTTTAAGGTATA